GNAGAAGCCTCGCGCCGGGCCGACTGCCGGGCTTCCGCCTCGCGCCGCCGGCGGAGCTCCGGCCGCTTTTCGGCTTCGACAAGGGCACCCTGGGCCCCGCGGGCGGCCACGGCGGCGCGACGGTCCTGGTGGATCGCTCGCTCGCGGGCCGCGACGTCTCCCTGGGCTGCGGCGCGCCCCCCGCGGCCCTCTGTCGTCCAACACTAAGAAGCTTCGCACGTTTATTACGTGAGATCCGCGAAGCGCGCGGCCGCGGCGCCGTCGCGCGCGAGGCGCGCGACGAGCGCGTCCGCGCCGGCGACGAGGGCCGTGGCCGCGTCGCCGCAGCCCAGGGAGACGTCGCGGCCCGCGAGCGAGCGATCCACCAGGACCGTCGCGCCGCCGTGGCCGCCCGCGGGGCCCAGGGTGCCCTTGTCGAAGCCGAAAAGCGGCCGGAGCTCCGCCGGCGGCGCGAGGCGGAAGCCCGGCAGTCGGCCCGGCGCGAGGCTTCTCCCGGCGTCGAGGACGACGAGCGCGCGGGCCCCGAAACCGTCGACGAGCGCGAGCGTCTTGCAGAGCACGGCGTCGCCCGCCCCGTCCACGAGCCGCCCGGCGCCGCCGAGCGCCGCGACCGCGTCGCCGGGGGTCAGCGACGCGGGAAACGGCGCCGAAGCCGCCAGTTGCAGGAGCACGTGCGCGTCGAGGGCCGCGTAGGAGCGCAGCGCCGCGGGCAGCGGCCGCGCGGCCCAGTCGCTGCGCTGGGGCCCCTTGTCGAGCCCGCCGCCCAACGTTTGCTTCGCGACGTCGCCGAGGCCCCGGCTCGACGTCCGCAGGTCCACAATTTTCGAGCATGAAAAAGCGCCGGGGACGACCGTCCGCACCTTCTCCACGTCCGCCGACGCGCCGAAGAAGAGGAGCGTCTTGCCGCGCAGCGCGTCGAAGACGGCGTCGCAGGGGTCGCGCTCCAGGTCGAGCAAAAAACAGGCGAATCGCGCCGCGACCTGACAGAGGCTCGCGCCGGCGGCGCCCGGCCGCCACTCGACGTCGACGCCCAGGACCCGCTCCGACGCGAGGGTTGCAGCCGCCGCGCGAGCGCCCGCCGCGTCCTCGACCAGGGTCACGGCGACGCCCGGCGGCAGCGCCAAAAACCCGTCGGCTCGCGGCGCGGACCGCGGCGCGCCCCGCGCGTAGGCGACGTCCGACGCGCTCAAATCATCAGCTGGCGGCGGGGAGTCCCCCTCTTCGCCGAGCAGGTCCCGCGCGAGCCGCCGGCAGACCTTGCGGTGGCCCAGGGACCGCGCCGCGTCGACCAACGCCCGGGCCGCGTCGACGTCCACGAAGACGTCCGCCTCGTCGCCGTCGAAGCCGGCGGGTCTGGCCTTGCAGAGCTCCGACGCCGTCTTCAGCGAGTCGCCGCGCGCGAGCGCGACGGCCGCCGCCGCCACGACGGAGCTCGGCAGGCGCGGCGGCCGCCCGACGAGCGCGACGAGCAACGCCGCCAGCTCCAACCGGTGGAGCGCGCCGTCGGCTTTCGATCGGCCGTCGTAGGCTTCGAGAGCATCGGCGAGCGTGCGTCGCACAAAGCTGTCGTCTTCGAGGCTCGGCGCGCCGAACTTCTGCGCGCAGGCGACGGCGAGGGAGAGCTCGAGGCGCCGCGGGTTGAAGGCCACGGCGTCGTGCGGCGGCAGCGCGAGCGACGCCCGCAACAACGCGTCCGCCGCTCCCGCCGCGTTCGCGTCCGCCGGCGCCGCGTCCACAATGGCGCCGCCGACGCGCAGCAAAAAGGCCCGGGGCATCGTCGTCGCGCGCGCGCCGAGCGCGCGCAGCGCGTCGATCGCGAGCGCCGCGGCGTCCGCCGGCGATTCCGCCAAAAGTTTGCCCGCGCGGTACTTCAGCAGGTCGCCCGAGTGCTTCCGCCCGGACTTGGCGTGCGCGTCGCGCTTCCCTTCCAATGCATCCAAGAGCCCATCGCCCGTCTCGACGGCCGGGTCGCCCGCGTCGACGGTGATGGCGCCGATGACGACGCCGCCGTTCGACGCGCCGGGCGGCTGGCCGCCGGACGGCGAGGAGAAGACGCCCCGCGACCGCAGGCCGGCGACGGACGGGTGCGCGCCGCCGTCCGCGAAGCTGTGCGCCGGCGACGGGAACGTGCCGACCTCGACGTAGGTGCCGTCGTCGCGGCGCCGCGGCGCCTTGCGCGTCGACTTCTTCCAGAACGTCGCGCCGGCCAGGAGCGGTGCCGGGTCCCACTCCGGCGGCAGCAGGAAGCCCCGCGACGTCTCGTACAGCGCGCCGTCGTCGAACCGTTCCAGGCTCGCGACCATGACCGGCGTCGCGGGGCAACGCGCCGCGAGCGCGTCGAGTTCGTCCGCGATCTTCGCGTCGGACACCGCTGTCGTCGCGAGCGGCGCGCCGACGCGCGCCGACGCCGGCAGGGCCCAGCCGCCATCATCGTCCCGCGGCACGCGGCAGGGCCCGAGCCAGTGGGGCTTCGACAGCACGATCCAGTGCGTCGTCGTCGACGGCGCGGCGGAACGCATCGCGCCGACGGACCGCGCGGCCCAGCCCCGCCCGTGCGCCGGCGACACCGACGGCGAGGCGCCGGACGCCCCCGCCTCGTAGAAGAAGAACCCGCGGAGCACGCTCGCCGCGCGGATGGCGAGCACGCGGTCCGGGCAGGCGACGCCGGCGAGCTCGCGGCTCGCCCATTTTCGCACGTCCGGCTCCTCGGACAGCGCGACCTTCCGCGCGCCCGTCGCGACGCGCGCCTCGAGGTTCTCGTGCAGGAAGGGCCCGACGAAGCGCGCGAGGTCGTCGGCGTCGCCGCCGGGCACGTGGACGAAGAACTTGATGGAGAACTCCCAGTGGCAGAGCAGCGGCCGGCCCGGCGCCGGTTCGCCCGTCGGGTCCGCGCCGAGCGCCGCGCGCACGCGTGCGTCCGTCGGCCGGCAGCAGAAGACGTACTTCAGCGAGCCGACGACGCTGCCGTGCTTCAGCACCTGCTGGCCGCAGCGGCTCGCCGTCGTGCCGAGCGCGGGGCACGCCTCGATCCAATACTCGACGAGCGACTGCGCGTAGAACCCGAGGCGCGTGCTCTTGCGGCTCGGGCAGTCGAGGAAGGTCTCCAGCGGCGACGCGTCGGCGTCGAGGTCGGCGAGCCAGCCGCGCGACGCGTCGACCAAGGAGGCGCCGACGGCGTCGGCCAGCGGCGCGACGCTCTCGGTCGCCGGCGAGGAGCGCAGCATGCCCGGCGACGCCATGACCCACCAGAGGTCGCGGATGAGCTTGTGCTTGAGGAAGAGGCATTGCGGATCGGCCATTTTCGCTCAGCTGTGCGTCGATTTGCGAGAGCTCGAGCTCATCGTCGAGCTCGAGGACTGCACCGAGCCACAAAGATGCCGCAATTGAGCTCGATATCGAACCGGCCTGAGAGGAAGCATGGTGAGCTGGAATGCATGAGCGGCAGCCCTAGCCTGCAATGCCGTCGTCGCGGTCCCTCGCCATCGTCGAGGCCATCGTGCGCGGCGACGCGACCTTCGAGTCCATTCCCGTGGAGCTCTGGCGGCGCCAGTACCGCGAGCACGCGCTGGCCGAGGCGCAGCGCACCGAGGATGACGACGACGGCGACGAGGACGGCCACCTCGCGACGCACGAGTTGACGCGGCTGCCACCGGCGCTCCAGGACTGGTACGACCTGCGGGACGCGCTGCGGCGCATCGCGCGGCGCCAGCGCGCCCTGGCGGCGGCGCGACGCGAGGCCATCGCGGCCGCGTCCGAAGCGTTAAAAGGCGGCGGCGACGGCGAGGCCGCGCGGCTCGCGGCGGCGGCGGCCGTCGACGGCGAGCCCATCGAGGAGGCGAAAGAGGACGTCGCGCTCGCGGAGCGCGTGTTTCGGGACCACCTCGCGCAGCTCAGGCGCTTGCTGCTCGCCGTCGCGCCGCCGCGGACGGTCGCGGCCGTCGCCGAGGCCGCGGCGCCGCCGCCGCGGCGCGCGACGGAGAAGCCGCGGCGCAAGCGGAAGACGCGGCGCGCGCGCGCCGCGTCGGCGCCGGCGCTGCACGACTTCGAGCTGCCGAAGATCGGTGCGGCGCACGGCTTCGCGCCGACGCGCGTCGGCGGCGGCCACGGGTCGAGCTCAGCGTCCCGCGCCCGGAACGACTTTCGAGAGCTTTTCACCGGGAAAACGATGAAAAATCGTCACCGACGCATAGGTTGAGCTACGAGGATCGGAAGGCGTTGAAGGGTCTCTTGGCGGCCAAGGACGAGAAAAGCGCCGAGGCGGTCGCGCCGGCGCCGCCGCCGCCGCGCGACGACGGGCCGGAGCGGGACGACGCCGCGCGGACTCTGCAACGGTTTTGTCGAAGCGTCGCCGACGACGGCCCGCTGCTCTGGCAGGCGCCGCGGCTCTTCGGCTGCGCGGGCGCCGCGGACCTGCTCCTGGGGACCGCCGCGGGCTGGCGGCGCGTCCGCCGGAGCGCGTCGCTCGACGTCCGGGGCGAGCGGCTCGCGAAAGCGACGCTGGAGCGGCTCGCGGCGCTGCGGCTGACGGCCGTCGACCTGACGGGCGCGGGCCGCGGCGACGACGACCTCCTCGCGCTCCAGCCGCTGCTCCCGCACCTCGAGCGCTTGGTCTTGAACGACTGGCCGGAGCTCGCGTCGCTGCACGAGTTCCTCCGGACGCCGGCGCCGCGGCTCCGCGTGCTCTCCGTCGCGGAGTGCTCGCGGCTCGGCGACGGCGGCGTCGCCATCGTCTGGGAGCTGCCGGCGCTCGTGGACCTGTGCCTCTACGGCTGCCCGCTGCTGACGCCGCGCTGCGCGCGGGGCCTCCACGGGGACGCTCCGCTCGCGCGGCTCAACATCAGCGGCTGCTACAAGCTCGGCGACGACTTCCTCCGCCTCCTCTTCCACGCGAAGCCCCACTGCGTCCTCTACACGAACCCGAACGACAACGCGCCGTAGCATATAAAGGGGGCGGATGACGCGGCGCTCAGGGCAGGAGGTCCTCGACGTCCGCGTCGTCGAAGTCCTCCTCGGGCTGCTCGCTGCGCTTGACGGCCGTGCGGGGCCGCTCCGGGTCGCCCGTGCCCGCGATGCCGCGCGCCTTGGGCGCGGCCATGGGGCCGGGCTCGCTGGGCGCCTCGAACTTTGGCGCGGGCGCGTCGTAGCGCTGCGGCGGCGCGCGCTCCGCCTGGGGCGCGGCGCGCGTGAGCTGGCCCTGGGGCTGGGCCGTGTTCATCGTCGCCTGGGCGTTGCGGTCGAGGCGGCTGAGCTTGGCCTGGTACTGGTCGTGGGGGTGGCCCAGGTCCTTGCAGATGGCGACGAGGTAGCGGAGGCACTCGACGTTCTCCGGGTGCTCCGCGTGGACCTTCTCGTAGAGTTCCAGGGCGCGCTGGTAGTTGCCCATGCGGCGGTAGCAGGACGTGACCATGAGGCGCCACTTGACCTCCTTGGGCTGGATCTGGGACGCGCGCTCGAAGAAGTGGATCGCCTTCTCGTACATCTCCGACTTGACGTACCAGACGCCGAGCCAGGAGATGACGTCGAGGGACACGGGGTAGTGGCGGTAGGACTCGAGGTGGAAGTGGAAGGCCTGGGGCTCGTCGTCCGTGCGGTTGCAGATCTGGCCCATGCGGAGGAGCACGCCCGGGTCGCTGGGCACGCGCGTGATCAAAATGTTGTACCACTTCAGCGCAATATCCAGCTGGCCCCGCGCCTCGTGGAGCGCCGAGATCTGGTAGATGACCTCGGCGTTGTTCGGCACGATCTGGTGCAGCTTCTCGAAGGCCTGCAGCGCCTCGGACCAGAGCTCCATCTTCAGGTTCACCAACCCCAGGTTGTAGATCGCCTCGACGCAGTCCGCCTCGACGCCGATGGCCTCGAGGTAGAACTGCTTCGCCGTCTCGTGCTCGTGCTTCACCGTGAGGCAGTTGCCCTTGTTCACGAGCGCGCGCGCGTTGTAGCGGTCCTGCTCGTACGCGAGATCCGCGTAGCGCTCCGCGGCGCGGAGGTCGCCCTCGAGGAAGTAGATGAACGATAAATTCGTCGCCGCCATGGCCTTGAGATGCTGGTCCTTCTTCTCGAAGGCCTTGAGCGCCTCGATGGCCTTGTCGAAGTCCTTGTTCCGCATGTATTTCAGCGCGCGCTCGATCTCCATCTCGGACGCTAACAGCTCGTGGTCGGGCTTCAAAGCGTCGATGATGAGGCGGTAGCCGACCATGGCGTCGTCGGGCGCCTTGAGCTCCGGCGCGATGAGCCGCGCGGCCGTGAGCATGTAGCCGTGGGCCTCCTTCTCGCGCCGCTTGAGCTCGTGGCGGAGGCCGTCCGCGCGCGCCAAATCGCGCGTCGCCGTCGCCTTGGCGTCGTCCTTGGCGTCGCCGCCCTTGGCCTCGCCGTCCTTGGCCGGCGACGACGGCGACCGCGGGTGCAGGTCCTCGAGGTCGTCGTCCTCGTCGACGGACGCGAGCGGGATGGAGATGAGCTTCTGGAAGCCGCGGCGCATCTTCTCCGCGTCGCCGAGCGCGTAGTAGCACAGGATCAGGTTGAAGCCCGTGTGGAAGTCCGGGTCGCCGCCCATGATCGTCTCGTAGGACTGGACCGCGTCGCCGAACTGGCCCAGGCGCACGAACGCGTTGCCGATGTTGCGGAAGATCTTGAACCGGATGTGCTTGCCCGTGTTCGGGATCTGGTCCAGGGCCTGGGCAGCAAAATGGTGATTCAACGTCGCTTCAACGTGAGCGTTCCGCGCGCGCGCGTTACGGTAAAAGCATCCACGCTTCGAGATCGTTCCGAGAGATGATCGCTCGTCCAAAAATCAGCCGAAACGAGTGGAAAACGGCCGAGATATGAGCCTTTGAAGTTGGGAATTTCGCTCTCTTTTGCTGCCCTGTCCAACGCCATGCGGTACATCTTGATGGCCGTCTGGTACTTCTGCTGCTCGTAGTAGATGTTGCCCATGTTCACGCGGAGCCGCCCGGACTGGGGGTACTGCTTGTTTTTGACTAACAGGGAGTACGTGTGCAGGGCCTCGTCGTGCATGCGCGCGCTGTGGTACGCGTGGGCGAGGTTGAAGCAGACCGCGTAGGTCAGGTCGATGTTGATCTGGTCCACGAGGCCGTGGGCCTCGCGGTGCTTGCAGAGCGCGCGCTCGCGCTTGCCCGCGTCCTTGGCCTTCTCGAGCGCCGCGTCGTGGTTGCCCTCGAGGGCCGCGGCCGCGGACGCCTCGACGAGGGCGTGGACCTGCTTCTCGAACTCGCGGGCCTGGTCCTCGGGCGAGTTGTCCGCGCGCTCGGCCAGCGGCGGCGCGGGGCCCCGGCCCTGGCCGAGCGGGTCGAAGCCCCGCGCCGCCGCGCCGCCCTGCTTCGTGCTGAACCCGGCCCCGGACGTGCTCGTCATGGGCCGCACCTCGCCGCCGCCGCCCGCCGCCGTGCCCAGGCGGCTCGCCGTCGCGCCGGCCCGCGACGCGAGGGAGCTCCCGAGGCCGCCGCGCGTCGCGAGGCCGCCGCCGAGGTTCGACGCCGGGCGGAACTGGTGGCCGGGCGTCTTCGGCGCGTTCCCGAACGCCGGGCCGCCCGCCGGGGCGCCGGACCCGCCGATGCTGATGTCGTAGTCATAGTCGCTGTAGAGGTCGTTGTCGTCGTTCATGGCGCCGACGCGACCGGTTTAAGCCGAGACGCTGCCCCGCGGCAAACCGCGCCGCCGGTCCGCGGCGTTGGATTTATTGCAGGGAAAGGTAAGACTTCAAGGTTGGTGGCGACCAGTCGGCATCGGGGGGGGGCGCGGCTCGGAGGGGCGCGCGCGGGAGGGGAAGGGATGGCGGCCCGCGCGAGGCGTGGGCGGGGGGACAGCGGGTCTTCGGCGCCCGGCGGAGCGGCGCGCCGCGCCTCTAGCGGCGGCGGCGGCCGCGCGAGCGGCTGCGGTCCGAGTCGTCGGAGGGGCTCCGGTCGCGGCGGCGGCGGCCGCGGTCGCGGGAGCGGCTCCGGTCGCGGCGGCGGTCGCGGTCGCGGCCGCGGTCGCGGGAGCGGCTCCGGTC